TGCTCATGACCATGTCAGATTATTGAAATTTTCTGGGCCCAAAAAACGGTTTTTATTTTTTCACAAGCCTTAAAACCCAAAAAACAAAGTTGCGAAAATGCTTTTCCACTAATTTTCACCTCCTCTTTCGATTGGTAAAGTCGAAAATTTCAAAATCCAAAAATTTGAAAATTCGAATTTTTCCAAAGGGGTATGCATGGAAATTTGATTTTCAAATATTTCAAAGGGCCATATTTTGGAAACCAGTGAAGCTATCGGCATGAATCTTTCGCTCAATTGTAGCCCTTTATTGGGGCTACAAAAAAGGTTATTTAAGACTCCGAACTCAAGGGCTTCGTTTTCGAAAAAAACGGCTTTGAAGTTTTCACCAAATTTGAGCCAAAGTTTCAACTTTGAGCTTCAATATCTCAAAAACTATTCAAGCTATTAAACTCAATTTTGCACGGATTTATAGAGAATTTAATGCTCTTTCCAATGGTATATAGTTTCTTATGATTTGCTCAAAATTTGAGAACGTTATGGGCAATTGCTCATGACCATGTCAGATTATTGAAATTTTCTGGGCCCAAAAAACGGTTTTTATTTTTTCACAAGCCTTAAAACCCAAAAAACAAAGTTGCGAAAATGCTTTTCCACTAATTTTCACCTCCTCTTTCGATTGGTAAAGTCGAAAATTTCAAAATCCAAAAATTTGAAAATTCGAATTTTTCCAAAGGGGTATGCATGGAAATTTGATTTTCAAATATTTCAAAGGGCCATATTTTGGAAACCAGTGAAGCTATCGGCATGAATCTTTCGCTCAATTGTAGCCCTTTATTGGGGCTATAAAAAAGGTTATTTAAGACTCCGAACTCAAGGGCTTCGTTTTCGAAAAAAACGGCTTTGAAGTTTTCACCAAATTTGAGCCAAAGTTTCAACTTTGAGCTTCAATATCTCAAAAACTATTTGAGCAATCAAACTCAATTTTGCACGGATTTATAGAGAATTTAATGCTCTTTCCAATGGTATATAGTTTATTATGATTTGCTCAAAATTTGAGAACGATATGGGCAATTGCTCATGACCATGTCAGATTATTGAAATTTTCTGGGCCCAAAAAACGGTTTTTATTTTTTCACAAGCCTTAAAACCCAAAAAACAAAGTTGCGAAAATGCTTTTCCACTAATTTTCACCTCCTCTTTCGATTGGTAAAGTCGAAAATTTCAAAATCCAAAAATTTGAAAATTCGAATTTTTCCAAAGGGGTATGCATGGAAATTTGATTTTCAAATATTTCAAAGGGCCATATTTTGGAAACCAGTGAAGCTATCGGCATGAATCTTTCGCTCAATTGTAGCCCTTTATTGGGGCTATAAAAAAGGTTATTTAAGACTCCGAACTCAAGGGCTTCGTTTTCGAAAAAAACGGCTTTGAAGTTTTCACCAAATTTGAGCCAAAGTTTCAACTTTGAGCTTCAATATCTCAAAAACTATTTGAGCAATCAAACTCAATTTTGCACGGATTTATAGAGAATTTAATGCTCTTTCCAATGGTATATAGTTTATTATGATTTGCTCAAAATTTGAGAACGATATGGGCAATTGCTCATGACCATGTCAGATTATTGAAATTTTCTGGGCCCAAAAAACGGTTTTTATTTTTTCACAAGCCTTAAAACCCAAAAAACAAAGTTGCGAAAATGCTTTTCCACTAATTTTCACCTCCTCTTTCGATTGGTAAAGTCGAAAATTTCAAAATCCAAAAATTTGAAAATTCGAATTTTTCCAAAGGGGTATGCATGGAAATTTGATTTTCAAATATTTCAAAGGGCCATATTTTGGAAACCAGTGAAGCTATCGGCATGAATCTTTCGCTCAATTGTAGCCCTTTATTGGGGCTATAAAAAAGGTTATTTAAGACTCCGAACTCAAGGGCTTCGTTTTCGAAAAAAACGGCTTTGAAGTTTTCACCAAATTTGAGCCAAAGTTTCAACTTTGAGCTTCAATATCTCAAAAACTATTTGAGCAATCAAACTCAATTTTGCACGGATTTATAGAGAATTTAATGCTCTTTCCAATGGTATATAGTTTATTATGATTTGCTCAAAATTTGAGAACGATATGGGCAATTGCTCATGACCATGTCAGATTATTGAAATTTTCTGGGCCCAAAAAGTGGAAAAAACGGTTTTTATTTTTTCACAAGCCTTAAAACCCAAAAAACAAAGTTGCGTAAATGCTTTTCCACTAATTTTCACATCCTCTTTCGATTGGTAAAGTCGAAAATTTCAAAATCCAAAAATTTGAAAATTCGAATTTTTCCAAAGGGGTATGCATGGAAATTTGATTTTCAAATATTTCAAAGGGCCATATTTTGGAAACCAGTGAAGCTATCGGCATGAATCTTTCGCTCAATTGTAGCCCTGTATTGGGGCTACAAAAAAGGTTATTTAAGACTCCGAACTCAAGGGCTTCGTTTTCGAAAAAAACGGCTTTGAAGTTTTCACCAAATTTGAGCCAAAGTTTCAACTTTGAGCTTCAATATCTCAAAAACTATTCAAGCTATTAAACTCAATTTTGCACGGATTTATAGAGAATTTAATGCTCTTTCCAATGGTATATAGTTTCTTATGATTTGCTCAAAATTTGAGAACGTTATGGGCAATTGCTCATGACCATGTCAGATTATTGAAATTTTCTGGGCCCAAAAAACGGTTTTTATTTTTTCACAAGCCTTAAAACCCAAAAAACAAAGTTGCGAAAATGCTTTTCCACTAATTTTCACCTCCTCTTTCGATTGGTAAAGTCGAAAATTTCAAAATCCAAAAATTTGAAAATTCGAATTTTTCCAAAGGGGTATGCATGGAAATTTGATTTTCAAATATTTCAAAGGGCCATATTTTGGAAACCAGTGAAGCTATCGGCATGAATCTTTCGCTCAATTGTAGCCCTTTATTGGGGCTACAAAAAAGGTTATTTAAGACTCCGAACTCAAGGGCTTCGTTTTCGAAAAAAACGGCTTTGAAGTTTTCACCAAATTTGAGCCAAAGTTTCAACTTTGAGCTTCAATATCTCAAAAACTATTCAAGCTATTAAACTCAATTTTGCACGGATTTATAGAGAATTTAATGCTCTTTCCAATGGTATATAGTTTCTTATGATTTGCTCAAAATTTGAGAACGTTATGGGCAATTGCTCATGACCATGTCAGATTATTGAAATTTTCTGGGCCCAAAAAACGGTTTTTATTTTTTCACAAGCCTTAAAACCCAAAAAACAAAGTTGCGAAAATGCTTTTCCACTAATTTTCACCTCCTCTTTCGATTGGTAAAGTCGAAAATTTCAAAATCCAAAAATTTGAAAATTCGAATTTTTCCAAAGGGGTATGCATGGAAATTTGATTTTCAAATATTTCAAAAGGCCATATTTTGGAAACCAGTGAAGCTATCGGCATGAATCTTTCGCTCAATTGTAGCCCTTTATTGGGGCTACAAAAAAGGTTATTTAAGACTCCGAACTCAAGGGCTTCGTTTTCGAAAAAAACGGCTTTGAAGTTTTCACCAAATTTGAGCCAAAGTTTCAAATTTGAGCTTCAATATCTCAAAAACTATTCAAGCTATTAAACTCAATTTTGCACGGATTTATAGAGAATTTAATGCTCTTTTAAATGGTGTATAATGTATTTCAATTTGCTCAAAACTTATTAGCGATATGGGCAATTGTTCATGATCACGTCGTAATAAAACCATTCATTCTGTAAAAATTTCAGCTTGTAACTCACAAAAGTCAAAATATATTATAAAGAGCACTTTATATAACTTCCCTTTTTTTTCTCTGAAAGTTTCATAATTCTTCCATCCTTCTAATGTCATCTAATAGAGAATCTTCTAAACCCATAATCAAGTAAAATAGGCTCTCAACTATTTCTAGTGAAAATCTGAATTGAAGCGTGTAAGTCTCAAAAGCAAAAACGCAAGGTAATAATGGTAGGTACATTCTCCACATACATACAATAATTGAGCATTTGGTTGTAAACTTTTCATTCAATCAACAAATTGAAGTTTCATTTCACCAATATCCTTCAACATTGGTGGTTTGAACGTTTCTTTTCGGTACTAGCTGCGCCGCGGGGAACCTAATGCCATAGTTGCCCTGGTCTCATTTGTTGCACTAATATACCTCACGGGTATGTGTAGCAGTCGGCAAAACATACGGGCGAGAGCGGGTTGAATTCACGGATATGCTGTTGGGTGTTGGTACAATGTAATTTCGATATTAGATCAAGCCCAAAAGGGACACGGAACAGCTAAATGCTCTCTTAGATAATTTTGGTTTGTGTGTTCCAGATGAAGATCAACATCAATAATGCAGCTTCTTGGATATAAAGTTGTTTCTAATACATTTTTTGTATTTGTCAGGCATATGTCCATTTTGTCTAAATATCTTTTCAGTTAGGTCATCACTACTTTGGACACTGAACTTCTTGCAAAATGATTGTCACCCTGGACATGGAACAAATGACTGCCAATGATGAACATGACTGCATGGATCCCAAACTTTTATAACTTTTCTCTTCCAGATGAAATTACATATGTGTCAATTCCCGAAAAGCAGTTCATGATTCGACTGAATCTTTAAAGCAGGGAAGCCCCGGGGGAGCCTAATGCCATAGTTGCCTTGGACCTCATTTGTTGCACTAAATATACACCGTAAGTATGGTAAGTGTTTGCAGTGGTGTCTTCTTAGCTGAGAAGTGAAGGTTGAATTAATGGATAGTTGACGGTTTTGGCTGTACAAGTGTAATTTCAAAGTGCATTAGGCCTAACGGGGAAAGCACTTGAAAAAAAAAACGCGCCGACAGCTCGTACCTCTAGGGTGGTGTGGAAATTGGGCTTAAAGTTACAATTATCGGCAAATGTATTAAGGTAAGTTATTACTTTTTGTTACAGGGCCAAGATTTTTAATACAAAATCTGCAAGATTTGTGAGGAAAAGACACTGGAATCCAGAATTATATGAAGTCATAACAGGCCTATTCGGGTTTGGAAAAAGTACGGTTCTAGAACGGTCCAGAAGAATCGCACAGTTTATTATTGAAATTTGTGATAGTCGAGTCGTTGTTATTTTGTTGATCAATAAACTGGACGATTGTTTTGAACCGTCCTTTTTCCAAACCCGAATAGGCCTAACAAGAACCTGGAACCCTTATCAGTTTTTGCAAAGTCGATACAATTGTCCTCTAAACTACACTGGCGCCATCTATCATTTTACCTTGTAACTATTTCATATTTAAAAGAACGCTTTTATTTTATTACTATAAAATCGTAACGCTAGCCTTAAAAACTATATAAACAGGAAAAATTAGTAATTTTTTTTTAACGCCTCACGCCTGCTTTGGTAATATGGCACTTCAATTGAGTGCTGCAAAAGGCTTCAAAAATAAAAGCATTAATTTACAGGAAACTGTAACTCTTTGTTTTTTGGTAAGATCATGATAATTTTATGCTGGCAGTTGGAGTTTCTTTCCTTTCAATACTGTAAAACAAACCAATTAATTATTATTAGCGACTATTTGTGGTGCCTCCCCCCTTACCTTTAGTGATGTACAAATAGAAAAAGTCGCAATACAAAACAGTTTGCACTATACCAGCCACAATGGCAATCAAATCGTAGTGCCCCTCGCTCCAGTAACGATAAATCCAATTCAAAATGTACAGGCCCCTGTAAGAGCCCAATGCAAACAAATAATGCGAAGTAATACTTTCAGCTTCGCCAGTTTTACTGACCATAAACAGCTGGGGCAAAATAGCTACACTTTCCAAATAAATACTAAAAGTCCACAAAATCTACAAACAAATTGCTATAGAAGATTATTTAAAAAAAAAAAACTGCTCTAACCTCTAGCAAGCTAAATTGATGGTTAATTAACATGGATAAAACCACTGCAGGTAAAACCAAAAACTCAATCCTAAAAGTGTCGTGGTTCTTGTCATAGGTGGCCCTGAATTTCATATAAATCAAGTAAATAGTGGCATAGGAACTGGCAAGGAAAACCACTTTCATGCAAGTGTTATACAGTGACACATAAGCAGTCACTAGATCCAAATATCTAGCCGTATAAACCAAAGCAAATAGTATTTGGGATTTACCAGAAATACCTAAAAAGAATTACTTATAGTAGCCGGTATAAGTAAACAAACATCTCTTACCAGCACAGGACCGTGTATACCAGATTTTCTGCAACAAAATTATGATGGCCAACAAGTGGGAAATGTCGCCCAGTAATCGGAAAATGTTCATTTTTAATAATGGATTTTTCCTTTTTCTGGGGACGAACCAAACAACACACACAGCCGATTTTTGCCTCAAGTGACGTGGCCGAATTCGAAAAACAAACGCCAGGTGGCACTTGGCAAAGTTACCCATAAATTTTGAGGTTACGTTTGCTAGAAACGTCACCCGTTAAAGGACCAGTGATGACGTTTTAGTACACTTGTACTAATTTCAGTAGTGTAACGTCAGTACACCATCAAAAATTTTAGTACATTTTAGAGAAAATTGTAGGTTTTTTGTTTACAATTGCTCCAAATGATTCAAGAACCATCAAACATGTGTTCCAGAGTAGGAAAAGTAATGGAACAGTTCCAAAATATTGAGAAACTTTATTTATATGAGGATTTTGAGACAATTTGTAAATATTTCACTGTTTTGGAGCAGTTATTTTAATCGAACCTGAATATTTTGCACTGAATTCAAGTTATTTTAATGTTTGGCAGTTAATTTCGCAAATATTTGCTGTTCTGGGGCAGTTATAATTTCACTGTACTTACTCTGAACACAGTGAAGCATAAGAGTAAACAGACTCGAAAAAAGTACCATTTTCGAATTGTTTTCTTATTCAGTGCACTCTAATTATTACTCCATACATCTGTAAACGGCTTTTTAGAGTTAAAATAATAATTAAGTTCACATTTAGTTATGGAGCTTACTCCGAAAACTCCAGTTCAAAAAAACGAAAATAGAGATTTTTAAAGCAGTGCAGATAGTTTTGGTGCAAAATTACATCAAAGTTGTTTACTCCAAGTACTCCGTTGGCACTCCAAGGGTTTGATTATGGCTAAACAAAATACGCAATCTTGACTTTTTACTTCAATACTATCCAATAGAGATATGGAACTTGCACTTTGTTCTAAACGAACTGGCTGAAAAGGGTCACCAAATTGAACTTATTTTTTGTGAAATAGAATTTTTGGAGTATGTTCAATCTTACTATGTAAACTCAATCAAAAGAGTATCATTCCCAAACATAGTGCACTTTAATTCCTCTGCTTATTCGAGAAATAGTTTTTTGGAGTAAACTGTTTGCTCTTTTTACTCTTAAGTGATCAAAAAAACTGCTCTGAATCGGTATAGGCGATTTTATTAGTTTGTACGTTACTAGAATTTCTAAAGTATGCTTTTTCAACTCTAATTTTGATACTTTAATGTTACTCTGATTGCTTTGAAAACAGAGTCAAAAAGAGTACATTTCTTGAACTTGGTGCACTCTTATTAGTTTTGCTGTTCGAAACTTTTTAGCTCTAGGTTCACTTTTAAAAATTTGCTCTTTTTAGTCTAGAGTAATAAAAAAACTGCTCAGAATCAGTATTAGGCGATTTTGTGAGTTTTGATATGAAAATACAACTTCTGGAATAGCTCTTCTGACCATTCAATAATCGGAGTAAGTTTATTTGCGTTCGGGTAATATGAAAAGAATCGAAACTACTCCACTTTCCAGTACTTCAACGAACTTAGCGATTATTCATAGAGACTTTGTGTGTTATTTTAATATTTTAAACTCTTGGAGTGAGCTCTATTTACTCACAATTCTGTATAAAAAATGTGGATAAATTGCTCTATTTACACTAAATAATCAACTTCGATCAATGTAAGTCCTCGAATAAAAAGCAGTATTGGAGTAAAAAGCCTCAAAGGAGTCAAAAAATAGAACACATTTTTTGGAATATATTCAATCTTACTTTATGCATGCACTTCAAAAAAAGAAACTGAGTGCGCTCTAATTACTCCGTTTTCTTTTATTGCGAAATGAACAAAGTAAAAATAAACTTGCTCCTAAAGTTCTATGAGTAATTCATTCACTTAGAGCAGGTAAAGGACATAAAGAGTAGGAACGTGCCATTCTGCTTATGAAACTAACTAAACTGGCGTTTCCGATTGGTAGATTCAGTGCGCACTGAGTGTATTTGTATCCTTCTAATCAACCTGTAGAAGAAAAAGACAGAAATAGGAAAAATTGCACTAGTTCTGCACTAGATCTATCAATCGGAAACGCCATAATAAAGTGAAGCCAAGTTTTTGCCAGGTGTTTGGCACCAAAATACACAGGTAAAGCATTGAATTGCCTATACCGCCATTTTTTTGGTGCCAAAATACAGAAAAAAAACGGCTTCCTTTTCCAACTCCATGTTACTACTCCTCTTTACCTTTACCTGCTCTAAGTTCAGTCAGATTGAAAACTTGTTTGACTCCTCTGACACTTTTTACTCTGAAGCTGTTTGTGTTTAAACACTGAAGCAAATCGTTTAAGTTTCATATTATTTTGGATGAAAAGGAACACTACGTCATTCTGGAATTGTTCCCATATTATTTAAAAATCAAGAATCATGAAAAATGTGCTCCAGAATAAAGGTTTTGAGACAATTTCAGCATGTTCAGAGCTGTTCTCAAACGATTCGAGAACAATAGAATCAGTACCAGATAGATTTGGAACAAAACAGAACAGTTCTAAAACCATTTATATTAAATTTTCTACATTTGTGGGACAAAATATGGCTGTTCTAGAGCTATGAGCAGTTGAAAACAATTATGGATATGTTTAGAAAAAGGATATTTTGTGTTCAGAGCTGTTCTCAGATCATTCGAAAGTCATCAACTCTCCTCCAGAACAGTTTTAAATCCACTTTTAGTGCGCGAATAGTTCAGCACAGTTTACTCTAGAACAAAACAGAGTAAATTTTAACCTAAAATAAGTTCAGAAAATTGTAGATTTTTTTGTTCAGAAATGATCCAAATGATTCAAGAACAATTAAACATGTGTTCTAGAGTAGGAAAAGTAATGGAACAGTTCTAAAACAATTATATAATAAATTTTTGTAAATATTTAGTGTTTTGGAGCAGTTATTTCAATCGAACTGGAAATATTCTGCACTAGGTTCAAGTTAGCTTAATATGAAATTATTTAATGCTGTTCTGAGCCAGTTATTTAGTTTATTTTGCACTCAGTTCAAATTAGTATTTATTCGAAATTATTCAATACTGTTCAGATGACGTCATAAAGTTATCAGGCAACCTACCTCTCCCAAACAACCTTGCTAGTTTTCAATATACGTTTAGAATTGGCATGAGTAACTTGTCAAATAGTAGCAAGTGTCCATTCTAAACTTGCATTTCCAAAAGAGATTCAAGGAACAACTATAAATTCGGCCATTAGTTATGACTTTATGACGTCGGAAAAGGTGACATACCAATATGGCGGCGATTAGCAAAAGCGAGGCCCTGTAGGTGTGCATTAACTGGTTTGTGATTTTTGTAGGAACAGACCCAATAACTTCGGCTCTTCGGGCTCGTATAACCTCGGCCCTTCAAGATAGCCTATCTTTATAAGGCCTGTGTGGAACAAATCTCCCCCCAGTTGTAACGTAAGTGGCATGTTATTTCTCGCCTTGACGTAGACTGTTTAGGTGACGACTTAGTTATGACGTCGGAAATGGTGACACACCAATATTACCAAAAACGAGATCGATAAACAATCCTGTAGGTGTGTATCATCTTTGAGAAGTTGGTACAATTTAATTAGTAGAATTATAGACTAAGTTCCGGTCCTACGGGCTCGTGAATAAAATAACTCTTGGCATTTTGGACGGCAACACTTGTGAAGGACATTGTCAAAAATTAAATTCAATATGGCGACAAAGGTCAAACAATGTACCAATTAACCATTTATTAAAATCAAATTACAAACTAATCAATCCCAGTATTTAATAAGGCCGTCCCAGCCTGCAGTGATCATTTTGCTGGGTTCGTGGGGGTGCCACAAGCAACTGATACACACATTATCGTGCGCCTTCCACTTCTTATACAACTTGGTAGTCTTCCAGTCCCAAATGTAACACTTGCCATCAGCATCCCCAGATACCAAATAAGACATGTCCGGGGAAAAGTCCAGCTGGCACGCGTACCCGGCCACCATGTGTCCGGTAAAGGTTTTCTTGCGGTTCAACTTGAACCGGTTCAGAGCGGAAAATATGACGATTTTGTTGTCCATGCTTTGACAGGCCAGCCATTTGCCGTTTGGGGCGGGAGTAACTGCTGGCATACTATGCATTGTAGGATCTGCAATGTATTTCATGTCGACTGGAATGTCCCATTCCCAGACTCTCAATGATTTATCATCCGATGTAGTCACAAAACGCCTATGCTCGTCTACAAAGGTTATTGTGTTGACAGCCCCTAAATGTCTGTCATATTCTTGTACAATGTCTCCTGATCTAGTATCCCAACAAATAATTTTTTTATCCGAAGTCCCAGCAACAAACAAATGTTGCTTATTGTAATCAGGATTAAACTTGACACAATAAGGTATTTTTCTGCTTGTAAATCTTGAAACAACCCGGCCAGTTTCAGTGTCCCACAGCTTAATATACCTGTCATAGCCAGCAGACAAAAACTGATTGCCATTATTATTGAAATTAATATCCCTGACAGCTTGTCTATGTCCATAATAGGTGCGTACACATCTGCGTTCCTTGTATACTTCCCAAATTTTGATTTTGCAATCCATGCCACTTGATAAAAAGAGATGGGCAGTTTTGGGGAACCATCTAATAGCTGAGACGCCTTTAGTGTGTCCGGTCCAGGAGTGGATGTGGGATTTAGGTAAGAAGCATTTATCAGGAGGCATGTCAGATTTGAGGTTAACTCCGACATCGTGGGGGGCGTGCAAGAAGGATCTGCCTTGATAATCAATGGCATCTTTGATGTGCAACACTGATTTTTCTTCTGTGTGTTTTTCTTCAGGTTCTTTGCCTTTTTTGGTTCTTTTGCTTACAAGTTCTTGCAATTCGGCCTGTTCTTCTTCTGTAGGCCTTGCGATTTTTTGTTCGTCTTCGAATCCGCCCCAGGGGCCTAAAAACCCTTCAATATCGTCCGGTTTGTCGTTTTTTTTGCGCTTCCTTTTGTCCAAGGGTCTGAGTTGGGTCTTTTCAAATACGGTTTTGAGTGAATCGGTGGCTTCTTCTGAGTCGCCAATTACTTTAGTGAGGCCTTGTTCGTGTGCGCTTATAGAGGGGTCTAAAGCGTAGCCGTAACTTGCAAAGGTGCGGCGTTGGTTTTCGAATTGGAATTCGCTTACATGGGCCGGTTCTACGTGGCCGGAAAGCGTGTTTTTTTCGATTTCTTGATGTTTGGGTTTGAAGGGGTTTGTGGGCCCCACAGTTGGAGCAAATAACTCTTCGTATTTGGGGTTGTATTGAAGCTCTACAGTATCGGGATGGATGTGGATTTTGTCTTCGTCAATGGCGGGGGGTAGGACTGTGGGGGCCGCGCATATTTGTAGGGTTTTTGCGGAAAAACTTACAGGAGGGGGCGCCGCAGGGGTTTCTTCGTCGCCGCTGCTGCTACTACCACTGTAGGCCTGTATGGACATCATGATTGTTTTTGTTTATTTGTTTACGTTGTACTTAACCTCCATTGGGGGGTGACATTGTGACAGTGACAATTCAGTCTGTCAAATTGGAAAATTCAATATGGCGTGGCGGCCAAGCAAATTTGTTGTTTTCATGCATATTTTAAATTATTTTGCTTCGAGTTGTGCTTGCAACTTTGATTTTGATTATTTATTTATATATTTGTTGACTAGGCACCTAAACTATTAAATCTGGTAGAAACTAGTTTTTTTTTTTTGTGTTTTTTGGCCCATGTGTGGACGCCACGCCATCCACGTTAGTATATATGTATGTGACGCCATCTTGAGTGAGGTTTTTAGTTTTTAGGTTTTTAGTGGAATTCCTGTACCAATAGATGGCGCTAAATTATGCGAAAAATAGCAAAATGTCCGCCGAACTTTCGAATACGCTTAATAGGCGAAAATAAACTCAAAAATCCCCTAATTTGGACGTTTTCTAACCTTGCGTTCGGTATTTTGCTCGAAGAGCAGAGCGTGCTGAGCGGAGCCGTAATCACGTGACCAGCGAGGGAACAGAGCAGTTGAACGCTATATAAAAGTGCCAGAAATTTTAATAAACGAACGCGAATGAGGCTGCACCGAGTACACTGTTTGAATAAACGAACGGTAAAGTCATGCTCGGAGAACTCAGACCAAAATAACGAACGCACGGTAAATTAAAAACACATATTCATGTGGCGCCATCTATAATTTTTATACGCAAACAAATATAAAATCAGCTTTGAATCTTTTGTGAAATTTGAAACTTTGAGCCTCAATATCTCCAAAAGTATTTAAGATAGAGAATTAAATCCTATTCTATCTTAAAGATAATTTAATTCTGATTCGAAATATATAATTTTACATCATAATATGTGCAGTTATAACTGAGTAATGGGCGATTTTGTGAGACAATGTCAGATTATGGAAATTTTCTGAGCCCAAAATGTGGAAAAACGGTTTTAATTGTTTTACAAGCCTTAAAACTTAAAAAACAAAGTTGCGTAAATGCTTTTCCACTAATTTTCACCTCCTCTTTCGATTGGTAAAGTCAAAAATTGCAAAATCTAAAAATTTAAAAATTCGAATTTTTCCAAAGGGTTATGCATGGAAATTTGATTTTCAAATATTTCAAAGGGCCATATTTTGGAAACCAGTGAAGCTAGCGGCATGAATCTTTTGCTCAATTGTAGCTCTTGATAAGGGCTACAAAAAAGGGTATTTAAGACTCCGAGCCCAAAGGCTTCGTTTTTGAGAAAAACGGCTTTGAAGTTTTTACCAAATTTGAGACAAAGTTTCAACTTTGAGCTTCTATATCTCAAAAACTATTCGAGCTATCAGACTCAATTTTACACCGATTTATAGAGAATTTAATGTTCTTTTGAATGGTATATAATTTATTTCAATTTGCTCAAAATTTAATAACGATATGGGCAATTGCTCATGACCATGTCAGATTATTGAAATTTTCTAGGCCCAAAATGTGGAAAAACGGTTTTTATTTTTTCACAAGGCCTAAAACCCAAAAAACAAAGTTGCGTAAATGCTTTTCCACTAATTTTCACCTCCTCTTTCGATTGGTAAAGTCAAAAATTGCAAAATCTAAAAATTTAAAAATTCGAATTTTTCCAAAGGGGTATGCATGGAAATTTGATTTTCAAATATTTCAAAGGGCCATATTTTGGAAACCAGTGAAGCTATCGACATGAATCTTTTGCTCAATTGTAGCTCTTGATAAGGGCTACAAAAAAGGGTATTTAAGACTTCGAGCCCAAAGGCTTCGTTTTTGAGAAAAACGGCTTTGAAGTTTTTACCAAGATTGAGACAAAGTTTCAACTTTGAGCTTCTATATCTCAAAAACTATTCGAGCTATCAAACTCAATTTTGCACGGATTTATAGAAAATTTAATGCTCTTTCGAATGGTATATAATTTATTTCAATTTGCTCAAAATTTAATAACGATATGGGCAATTGCTCATGACCATGTCAGATTATTGAAATTTTCTGAGCCCAAAATGTGGAAAAACGGTTTTAATTGTTTTACAAGCCCTAAATCCCAAAAAACAAAGTTGCGTAAATGCTTTTCCACTAATTTTCACCTCCTCTTTCGATTGGTAAAGTCAAAAATTGCAAAATCTAAAAATTTAAAAATTAGAATTTTTCCAAAGGGGTATGCATGGAAATTTGATTTTCAAATATTTCAAAGGGCCATATTTTGGAAACTAGTGAAGCTAGCGGCATGAATCTTTTGCTCAATTGTAGCTCTTGATAAGGGCTACAAAAAAGGGTATTTAAGACTCCGAGCCCAAAGGCTTCGTTTTTGAGAAAAACGGCTTTGAAGTTTTTACCAAATTTGAGACAAAGTTTCAACTTTGAGCTTCTATATCTCAAAAACTATTCGAGCTATCAGACTCAATTTTACACCGATTTATAGAGAATTTAATGTTCTTTTGAATGGTATATAATTTATTTCAATTTGCTCAAAATTTAATAACGATATGGGCAATTGCTCATGACCATGTCAGATTATTGAAATTTTCTGAGCCCAAAATGTGGAAAAACGGTTTTAATTGTTTTACAAGCCTTAAAACTTAAAAAACAAAGTTGCGTAAATGCTTTTCCACTAATTTTCACCTCCTCTTTCGATTGGTAAAGTCAAAAATTGCAAAATCTAAAAATTTAAAAATTCGAATTTTTCCAAAGGGTTATGCATGGAAATTTGATTTTCAAATATTTCAAAGGGCCATATTTTGGAAACCAGTGAAACTAGCGGCATGAATCTTTTGCTCAATTGTAGCTCTTGATAAGGGCTACAAAAAAGGGTATTTAAGACTCCGAGCCCAAAGGCTTCGTTTTTGAGAAAAACGGCTTTGAAGTTTTTACCAAATTTGAGACAAAGTTTCAACTTTGAGCTTCTATATCTCAAAAACTATTCGAGCTATCAGACTCAATTTTACACCGATTTATAGAGAATTTAATGTTCTTTTGAATGGTATATAATTTATTTCAATTTGCTCAAAATTTAATAACGATATGGGCAATTGCTCATGACCATGTCAGATTATTGAAATTTTCTAGGCCCAAAATGTGGAAAAACGGTTTTTATTTTTTCACAAGGCCTAAAACCCAAAAAACAAAGTTGCGTAAATGCTTTTCCACTAATTTTCACCTCCTCTTTCGATTGGTAAAGTCAAAAATTGCAAAATCTAAAAATTTAAAAATTCGAATTTTTCCAAAGGGGTATGCATGGAAATTTGATTTTCAAATATTTCAAAGGGCCATATTTTGGAAACCAGTGAAGCTATCGACATGAATCTTTTGCTCAATTGTAGCTCTTGATAAGGGCTACAAAAAAGGGTATTTAAGACTTCGAGCCCAAAGGCTTCGTTTTTGAGAAAAACGGCTTTGAAGTTTTTACCAAGATTGAGACAAAGTTTCAACTTTGAGCTTCTATATCTCAAAAACTATTCGAGCTATCAAACTCAATTTTGCACGGATTTATAGAAAATTTAATGCTCTTTCGAATGGTATATAATTTATTTCAATTTGCTCAAAATTTAATAACGATATGGGCAATTGCTCATGACCATGTCAGATTATTGAAATTTTCTGAGCCCAAAATGTGGAAAAACGGTTTTAATTGTTTTACAAGCCCTAAATCCCAAAAAACAAAGTTGCGTAAATGCTTTTCCACTAATTTTCACCTCCTCTTTCGATTGGTAAAGTCAAAAATTGCAAAATCTAAAAATTTAAAAATTCGAATTTTTCCAAAGGGGTATGCATGGAAATTTGATTTTCAAATATTTCAAAGGGCCATATTTTGGAAACCAGTGAAGCTATCGACATGAATCTTTTGCTCAATTGTAGCTCTTGATAAGGGCTACAAAAAAGGGTATTTAAGACTTCGAGCCCAAAGGCTTCGTTTTTGAGAAAAACGGCTTTGAAGTTTTTACCAAGATTGAGACAAAGTTTCAACTTTGAGCTTCTATATCTCAAAAACTATTCGAGCTATCAAACTCAATTTTGCACGGATTTATAGAAAATTTAATGCTCTTTCGAATGGTATATAATTTATTTCAATTTGCTCAAAATTTAATAACGATATGGGCAATTGCTCATGACCATGTCAGATTATTGAAATTTTCTGAGCCCAAAATGTGGAAAAACGGTTTTAATTGTTTTACAAGCCCTAAATCCCAAAAAACAAAGTTGCGTAAATGCTTTTCCACTAATTTTCACCTCCTCTTTCGATTGGTAAAGTCAAAAATTGCAAAATCTAAAAATTTAAAAATTCGAATTTTTCCAAAGGGGTATGCATGGAAATTTGATTTTCAAATATTTCAAAGGGCCATATTTTGGAAACCAGTGAAGCTAGCGGCATGAATCTTTTGCTCAATTGTAGCTCTTGATAAGGGCTACAAAAAAGGGTATTTAAGACTTCGAGCCCAAAGGTTTCGTTTTTGAGAAAAACGGCTTTGAAGTTTTTACCAAATTTGAGACAAAGTTTCAACTTTGAGCTTCTATATCTCAAAAACTATTCGAGCTATCAGACTCAATTTTACACCGATTTATAGAGAATTTAATGCTCTTTTGAATGGTATATAATTTATTTCAATTTGCTCAAAATTTAATAACGATATGGGCAATTGCTCATGACCATGTCAGATTATTGAAATATTTTCTAGGCCCAAAATGTAGAAAAACGGTTTTTATTTTTTTACAAACCCTAAAACCCAAAAAACAAAATTGCGTAAATGCTTTTCCACTAATTTTCACCTCCTCTTTCGATTGGTGAAATCAAAAATTGCAAAATCCAAAAATTTGAAAATTCGAATTTTTCCAAATGGAAATTTGATTTTCAAATATTTCAAAGGGCCATATTTTGGAAACCAGTGAAGCTATCGGCATGAATCTTGTTCCCAATTGTAGCTCTTGATAAGGGCTACAAAAAAGGTTATTTGAGACTTCGAGCCCAAGGGCTTCGTTTTCGAGAAAATCAGCTTTGAATCTTTTGTGAAATTTGAGACAAAGTTTTGACTTTGAGCCTCAATATCTCCAGAAGTATTTAAGATAGAGAATTGAATCTTGCTCTAGCTTAAAGATAATTTAATTCTGATTCAAAATATATATGTATTTTGTGAGACAAATACATATATATGTATTTCACTTAAATGTTGAATGAACAAGCGCCTGGAATAATTGAAAATTATTGTGTTTGTTTCTATTTCTTTCTTATTTATTAAGTTTTTTATATCGCTGTCTTTTTATATTGGCACAAGGAATAATTAAACTTTTTCCATCAATAAAATTGTTTAAGTGAGCATTATTCAGATGTAAATCTAGTCATTTATGTGTTGCGTTTATATCGTCACTATATGGCTAAAAATACTAGAGATATTTACGTCACTAGCGGGGAAAGTAGTAAATTTAAATTTAGACGCTCCGGGGCCACATCAGCCAAAACATCACTTGTACTATCATCAATAAATTTAAAAATGGCCTATTGCTGGGATAACCGGGTAGCTTTTGTGGTAAAGTATTTATATGGTAAGCAAACAAATAATCCATAAAACTTGTTTGACCCAATACTTATTTCAGATATAGACAGTAACGGATATTTAGATGAACGCGACTTTGCCTGCCTGGCCCTTAGGGCCACGATAATCGAGGGCAAGGGCGAATTCAGCCACTCCAAGTTGCAGGAAAACCAACACATAATGCTGAGCTTATGGGAGGAGATTGCTGAATTAGCAGATTTCAATAAGGTAATTAATAATATTATTATAGAGCTCCGCTTATAACCGGCCTATATAAACTATTTGTTTTTAAAACAGGAGCTATTGCAGGACGGCAAAATCACTACAGAAGAATTTAAACAAGCAGTACAGCAATGTTGCCTTGGCAGGAGATACGAGGATTTTCCTCAGGCAATGAAAATGTTTATAGGTAATAGTACCTATACTGCTTAAACCCTATTTACATTAATAAATCCTATAGATTCCAACTTCAAAATGGTAGACATGAACGATGACGGAGTGATAGACGCCCATGAATACCGCTACAGTTGCATCACAAAGTTTCCCATTGAAGATATAGAAACTGTAGATGAAGCTTTTAACAATATGCTAAGTGACGATGACCGAAGAAGGGGCGGCATTACGTTGTCCAGATACCAAGAACTCTATGCCCAGTTTCTGGGAAATCCTGAACAAACTCCGGCCGTTTACCTGTTCGGGCCTTTGGCCGAATTCTTTTGCGAGTACGAATTAGTCGAATAATAATTGTTATTTTTTATATTTTGCATAATAAAAAGCCGTGTTTAATAAGCCATGACTATTTGAATACATCCTATTCAGTCGACAATAATGCTTATTACATTGCTGCTGTTAGCAATTGCTCTGGCCCTGGTGAGAAGTACCAAAATAGTAGGTGGCACCAGTGTTGACGTCATAAACTACCCTTATCAAGTATCCATGCAATACCAAGGTCGACACATTTGTGGCGGTTCGATTTTAACCACCAAATACGTCATTACAGCTGCTCATTGTACAGACAAGTGAGTATTATACAATTTTCAATTTAGCAATAATTATGTTTTGTCTAATAATAGAATTTCGCCTTCACAACTAACATTTCTTGCTGGGTCTTCGATAAGATCTCGCGGCCAACTAGTTAAAGCCAAAACTATCAGGCAACATCCAAAATTCAACGTAATTGACTATGACGTCAGTGTAGCTGAGGTTGCACCCAAATTCGTCTTCAATAGACAACTAAATAATGTGGCATTAGTTGCCAAAGAGCCTATTCAAGGTAATTATTATTAATTTTCGTAGCTTATGACGTCATTGTTATAAAAATCCAGGTACCCAAATGACTGTGAGCGGATGGGGCACCTTACGAGATACCAGCGACCGCTTGCCAAATCAACTTAGAGCAGTTCAAGTACCTATAGTCGATAGGGACGCATGCGCCCAATCCTATTTGAATCAAATAACCGCCCGAATGATATGCGCAGGTGATTTTTTGTGTGGAAGAGTAAGAACCAACTAAACCTGACGTCATCACTGACGAAAAAGGCAAATTACCTTTTCTGCAATTTTAAGTGAGACAAAATGGCTGCTTCTCAGTTGGTTTTAACATCTATAAAACACTTTTTCACATTGCTACTACTCCTGTACAAATAAGAACATTGAGTTTTCAACAAGATGGCCACCCAAGGCCTACTAGAGTTATTTTTCTCTCGTTTCAACATGCAAACAAAACAAGGATACAAATAAATTTTCACTTACCTTTGCTCGTTTGCTTCTAGTTGAATCAAGGCCGGACACAACAAAAACTTTTCCGCATTCAAAACCAACAAATTCTAGTAAAAAACATGGACACACAACAAGATGGCCACCTAATGGTCCTAATAATACGTTGCTTGTTAATAGGAAAATTGATGACGCATTTGGGGTGCCTTATGGAGATTTGCATTGTGATGAGGCACCCCAAATGACGTCATAAAATTATCAGAGAACATACCTCTCTCAGGGTATATAGTACACTAATTCCTTTACATTATTTGTTCCTCTTTATTTCATGCTGAGGACTTTACTCCAACCCCATTTTAAAAACAACTTACCCTTATAGGTTCGCAGGGCAAGGACAGCTGCCAAGGCGATTCCGGAGGCCCCTTGGTCACCTTAAAAGACTCCAAACTGGCCGGAATTGTTTCATGGGGCTTCGGTTGCGGCAGAAGAAACTTCCCGGGGGTTTACACCAATTTAAACAACAAAGAAATACGTGATTTCATTAGACAAATTACGGGAATTTGAATGTATATTTAGTTTGAAATAAAGTTAAATTGAATTTTCTTATCAGGTTTGGACCAGTTGGGTCTCAGATGATGCGCCTTTAACAAGGTATTAAATTACTATATGCGAACTTGAAAAAGTTTTCAAAATTTCAACTTTCCAGTCACTTTAGTTTTTGAGTGAAAAAATTGTTTGTAAAGTCTTACTTCATAAAATATCATTATTTTCAAAAAATCGTAACTCCATTAATAATAACTCAATGGCTTTGAGTTTTTCGTATTTTTTACATTGAGTCATTAGGAAAAAGTCCCCAAAATTTCAACTTTCCAGTCACTTTAGTTTTTGAGTGAAAAAATTGTTTGTAAATAGTCTTACTTCATAAAATATCATTATTTTCAAAAAATCGTAACTCCATTAATAATAACTCAATGGCTTTGAGTTTTTGGTATTTTTTACATTGAGTCATTAGGAAAAAGTCCCCAAAATTTCAACTTTCCAGTCACTTTAGTTTTTGAGTGAAAAAATTGTTTGTAAAGTCTTACTTCATAAAATATCATTATTTTCAAAAAATCGTAACTCCATTAATAATAACTCAATGGCTTTGAGTTTTTGGTATTTTTTACATTGAGTCATTAGGAAAAAGTCCCCAAAATTTCAACTTTCCAGTCACTTTAGTTTTTGAGTGAAAAAATTGTTTGTAAAGTCTTACTTCATAAAATATCATTATTTTCAAAAAATCGTAACTCCATTAATAATAACTCAATGGCTTTGAGTTTTTGGTATTTTTTACATTGAGTCATTAGGAAAAAGTCCCCAAAATTTCAACTTTCCAGTCACTTTAGTTTTTGAGTGAAAAAATTGTTTGTAAAGTCTTACTTCATAAAATATCATTATTTTCAAAAAATCGTAACTCCATTAATAATAACTCAATGGCTTTGAGTTTTTCGTATTTTTTACATTGAGTCATTAGGAAAAAGTCCCCAAAATTTCAACTTTCCAGTCACTTTAGTTTTTGAGTGAAAAAATTGTTTGTAAAGTCTTACTTCATAAAATATCATTATTTTCAAAAAATCGTAACTCCATTAATAATAACTCAATGGCTTTGAGTTTTTGGTATTTTTTACATTGAGTCATTAGGAAAAAGTCCCCAAAATTTCAACTTTCCAGTCACTTTAGTTTTTGAGTGAAAAAATTGTTTGTAAAGTCTTACTTCATAAAATATCATTATTTTCAAAAAATCGTAACTCCATTAATAATAACTCAATGGCTTTGAGTTTTTGGTATTTTTTACATTGAGTCATTAGGAAAAAGTCCCCAAAATTTCAACTTTCCAGTCACTTTAGTTTTTAAGTGAAAAAATTGTTTGTAAAGTCTTACTTCATAAAATATCATTATTTTCAAAAAATCGTAACTCCATTAATAATAACTCAATGGCTTTGAGTTTTTGGTATTTTTTACATTGAGTCATTAGGAAAAAGTCCCCAAAATTTCAACTTTCCAGTCACTTTAGTTTTTGAGTGAAAAAATTGTTTGTAAAGTCTTACTTCATAAAATATCATTATTTTCAAAAAATCGTAACTCCATTAATAATAACTCAATGGCTTTGAGTTTTTCGTATTTTTTACATTGAGTCATTAGGAAAAAGTCCCCAAAATTTCAACTTTCCAGTCACTTTAGTTTTTGAGTGAAAAAATTGTTTGTAAAGTCTTACTTCATAAAATATCATTATTTTCAAAAAATCGTAACTCCATTAATAATAACTCAATGGCTTTGAGTTTTTGGTATTTTTTACATTGAGTCATTAGGAAAAAGTCCCCAAAATTTCAACTTTCCAGTCACTTTAGTTTTTGAGTGAAAAAATTGTTTGTAAAGTCTTACTTCATAAAATATCATTATTTTCAAAAAATCGTAACTCCATTAATAATAACTCAATGGCTTTGAGTTTTTGGTATTTTTTACATTGAGTCATTAGGAAAAAGTCCCCAAAATTTCAACTTTCCAGTCACTTTAGTTTTTGAGTGAAAAAATTGTTTGTAAAGTCTTACTTCATAAAATATCATTATTTTCAAAAAATCGTAACTCCATTAATAATAACTCAATGGCTTTGAGTTTTTGGTATTTTTTACATTGAGTCATTAGGAAAAAGTTCCCAAAATTTCAACTTTCCAGTCACTTTAGTTTTTGAGTGAAAAAATTGTTTGTAAAGTCTCACTTTACAAAACATCATTATTTTCAAAAAATCGTAACTCCATTAATAATAACTCAATGGCTTTGAGTTTTTGGTATTTTTTACATTGAGTCATTAGGAAAAAGTCCCCAAAATTTCAACTTTCCAGTCACTTTAGTTTTTGAGTGAAAAAATTGTTTGTAAAGTCTTACTTCATAAAATATCATTATTTTCAAAAAATCGTAACTCCATTAATAATAACTCAATGGCTTTGAGTTTTTGGTATTTTTTACATTGAGTCATTAGGAAAAAGACCCAAAAATTTCAACTTTCTACTCCCCTTAGTTTTTGAGTGAAAAAATTGTTTGTAAAGTTTTACTTTACAAAACATCATTATTTTCAAAAAAATGGTAACTCCATTAATAATAACTCAATGGCTTTGAGTTTTTGGTATTTTTTACATTGAGTCATTAGGAAAAAGTCCCCAAAATTTCAACTTTCCAGTCACTTTAGTTTTTGAGTGAAAAAATTGTTTGTAAAGTCTTACTTTGCAATTCTACTGTCAATAGTAGACCGTAAATTCCAAGGCAAACACGTAATGATAATTATTATTGTACAATGTTAGCGTTGATAAGAATTATTAGCTTAAATTCAAGGATTTAATTAGTCTGCTTGAAATGTTGTTGCAACTGATACGCAAATATTCGAGCGGCAAATTGTGGCAAGAAGTCGCTATACCGGTACCGTGGGGCGAAATCCGAGGCAAATGGTGGGGACCCACTGACATCAGGCCTGTTTTAACGTTACATGGTTGGCAAGTAAGACACACGCTACTATGGGCTGGGACTCTGTAATGAATATTGTGCCATCTCTATTACTCCCAGCCCTCTACTGTCTGAACTACTATTATAAATATTCGTTTTTATCTATAGGACAATTGTGGCAGTTTCGACCGCCTCATTCCTCTACTACCTGACAATATGAGTTTTCTCACTATTGATCTTCCTGGGCACGGGTACTCATCTCGATTGCCCTCGGGCCTGCATTACAACCTGTCTTCGTATCTGGTGACTTTAAAGTACCTTACTAACTACATGAAATGGAAGCAAGTCTCGTTAATGGGACATTCAATGGGGGGACTGTTGTGCTACACCTACACAATGATGTATCCGAAAAGTGTAGATTTCCTGGCTTGCATAGACGGATTGATTTTGTTCAACTACCTTGATCTTATGGCGAAGGCAATTGAAGATTTTCCTAAGAACAATCAATTTAGTTTTGACAAAGTTGAGTCTCCTAGTTATTTTATAGAAGAAATTAAACAAAAAATCCATAAACCACATGGAGGCTCAATAGATTTAACTAACACTGAGTTTATAATGCATAGAAATGTTGCCCTAAGCCAAACTAATCCAGGCAAATATTATTTCACTAGAGATCCTAGACTTAAGTCTGTAGATTTATACACGTTTTCCCAAGAGGAATATATAAGACACTCGCCCAACATTTCCTGTCCAGTTTTCTTGTCCAAATTCACTCAACGAATGTTTGCCAAGGAAATTTTCCAGGAATTGAAGCGGGTGCTGCAAAAATCGGAGGCTCATATTGTAGAAGGCACCCATCATGGGCATTTGAATAATCCCGAAAGGCATGCGGTGTTGTTAAAAGGGTTCTTTGATCGGTTTGAATTGGACAAAAATAGATCTAAGGAAGTTAGGGAGGAGATTTTTGTTTAATAATGTTGATTGATTAAATAAAGCTAAGATCAGATTGAAATTAAAGTAGAATTTGGTATTTTTTACATTGAATCATTAGGAAAAAGACCCAAAAATTTCAACTGATTAGGTAGTTCAAAAACTTATCAGAGAATGAATCATTCATTTATTGCAATATCAAGGCCATACTAGATTATCTAACAACGCGACAAACAAAGTCCAATCATGCGCCTTCAACCCAATGCCACAAAATCTATTTACTATTTTTAAATTATTCATTCATCTAAAATGACTCTGTTATCAAACACCTTAAAGTTAACTCTTAGAAAATACTCAACCGGGAAATTGTGGCAAGAAGTTTCTATACCGGTACCGTGGGGCGAAGTCCGAGGCAAATGGTGGGGCCCCACTAATCTGAGGCCTGTTTTAACGTTACACGGTTGGCAAGTAAGAACTTGTTAATTCTAATAAAAATTTTTGCTAATTATGTCTTTTAGGACAATTGTGGAAGCTTTGATCGTTTAATTCCTCTATTAGACACAAACAAAGTGGGTTTTCTTGCCATAGATCTTCCTGGACATGGGTACTCATCGCGCCTGCCCAATGGGTTCTACTACAACAATTCTACTTATTTATTAACTGTTAAATTTATTCAAAAACATTTTAATTGGGCAAAGGTGTCTTTAATGGGGCACTCATTAGGGGGGCTAATAAGCTACGTTTACACAATGCTTTATCCAAATATTGTAGATTTATTAATATGTTTAGATGGGGCAAAGCCTATGATTAACCCTCAAGGAGTTTCAATGATGGCTAAAAACTATGACATGTTTTTAAAGCAAAACGAATACGTTTACAGCGATAAAGAGCCTCCCAGCTACACCTTAGAAGAAATGAAACAGCTAGTACATCAGCCCAACAAGGGCTCAATTAGCTTAGAAACAACCCCATATATTTTACACAGAAATATAGCCCCATCAAAACTCTACAAAGATAAATACTATTTTACTCGTGATCCTAGATTAAAGTGTGGCAATTCTTCTTTATTCTCTCAAGATGAATATTTGGCTCATGCCCAAAACATGACTGGTCCAATGTTTATAGCCAAATACAAACAAGGCTCCTATTATGAAGTTAAAGAAAACTTCTACGAGGTTTTAGATGTGCTTAAACGAAGCAGCACAGACTGTGATTTTAATTATTTTGAAGGCACCCATCATGGGCATTTGAATAATCCTGAAACTATTGCAGAAATGTTGCAAAGGTTTATTCAAAGGCATAACATAGAGAATAGATGCAATAATGGTATTAGTCCTAAAATTGTTAATAATAATAATACTCAAAGTTATTTATTTCAATAATTAAATTGATGTTAACAAAGTAAGTTTTTCGTTTAATTGCAATTGCGTCTTGATCAATTGGGACAAAGTAATAACCATCAAAAGATCCTTGCAATTGCTGTTGAACATCTCAGAAAATTGTTCAGAGCTCATATGAGGCACCGAATTTACAAGATGCAAAAGACTCCTGCCTACTTCGTTGTTGGGAGGCTGGCGGTCAGCCAAAACATCCTCGACATAAGCCAAAACCTGGTCCAATAACGAGCCCATTTTGCCTCCGGCTTCTGCAACTTGTTGCAAGTCCAACTGAGGATTGACGTTTCTGGAACGGCCTCCGCCCCCGATTGTTTTCTGGCTCAATTGCAACCCAAACACTTCCGGATCGTAACAAGTGATGTCTACAGGTATAGAGGTAAACATGCAGCCCTGTTTGCCATTAGGTACTCCAAAGTTTACACATACATAAGCTTTAAGCCCCATGCGGCCTCCTTGTAAACTGGTATCGACTGTAAGATGTACAGGGTTGACACATTCGCGCGAATAGTACTCGTGGATTACGGAGCTGTGGTTGGTGACTTCGTGGCCGGTTGCCCACCAGCCTACGATTGCTTCGTTGGCGTTGACTCGGCGGTTGAGCTCGTACACGTCCATAGCGTACGAAAGTTCCGCCTCGACTTGGTCGTCGTATTCCTTGTGGGGCACGCAAAAGCAATTTGTTACCTCGACGATTCCTTTGTCCGAGGAACCCAACAGGGTGCCAATTACTCGGTAGGAGTCGGCGTTGCGTCTCTCGTAAGCGTCGACGATTTGGAATAGAACCACTGGGTGCACTTTTACTTGAAGATTTAGAGCCATTTTTAATGGTTTTTAATGTAAAAGGGGCCCAAATTAGAAAAGTTGGGTTAGGATTTTCTTATTGTCAACGTTTGCCTGCAGTGGCGCCATCTATGTTTTATTATGTCAACTACTGACTCAATACAAAAGAAATCTGTAATTTTATATAAATGCATGAAGCCGCCGATGTTGTGGCCGGGAAATTCAAACTTGAAATAATTTTCTGGTCAGAATTTTTCATATTACTTATGGAATTTACTCTAGTTTAATAACTTATATTAGTTCAAAAACCCACTCATCAATGAACTAAATGAGTAAATTTCGTAAGTAGATGGC